ATGAAGGAACTCTTTGCAGTGATGGAAATGATCTATGTCTTGATTGTGGAGATGATTATAAGCATGTGTACAGTTGTGAAATCTCATTAACTGCACCCTTAAATTGGAGGCATCATATTGTATGTAAAGTTGATTTAAAAAGAAAAATTTTAAAAAAGACAAGTAGTCTGAGCTTCATCACTAATTCTGTGTGTTCTTGGGAAAGGAACTTAATCTCTCTGCATCTCTTTCCTATAAAGAAAATGGCGACAATAGGTAGCTTACCTACCTCATTCAGTTATTGTAAAAATATCAATGAAATTATTTATTTTGGAATGCCTTCAAACAGTATATAGTATACAAATGCTGGGTAGGAGGAATATTCCATAAACTCCTCTTCTGGGAAGAAATATTTTTAAAACTTATTTGCAAGTTATCTTTTAACTTTGCGTAATATTGGCTGTGTCACTTCCCCTCTCTGGCCATCAGTACAAGGAAGGGGTTAAACTAGTTCAGAGGTAGAAAACTGGAGGCTCAGAGACTCTCTAAAGCCTTTCAGATGTGTTTTCTTTAACCTCTACAGAGTTGGCTTGTCCAGTGTTAACTTAAAATGTGACTTGTTGCCAGTGTTTAAATTGAAAGATTTCACATAAAATTTCGGGTTTCCAACTTCTCTTTAAAAATTAGCATATCTGTAACAAAACTAGGTCTATATTCCTACATGGCAACAATGACCTGGTGTTTCGTAGTGGCTGCCCCTTTATATGGGACATATGCTTCAGACTGCCATAGTCTCCACCACTCTCTGTAGCCTTTTCTGTTCTCTGTAGTACATTAAAAGAAAAATTCATCCGTTCAACAATTATTGAGTGCCCACTATGTATTAGGTACTTGCTTAGGGTGTGAAGCTACAGAGGGGAACCAAACAGACAAAATCTCTAAACGCATGGTGAGTGGTAAGCACCAATCCACATCTCCATCAAAAAATGAGAGGGAAAAAGTTAGACCAAGAGTGCCATATATTTTAGGGAAAATGGGAGAAAGCGTGCTTCTTTGTCGGTGTAAAAAAATATTCCTGTGTATTTAATAGGCAAAGTGCATTCAACATTATCCTGTCTACTTGACTTGCTTACCTCATGTCATAGTTAATATCCCTTTCCCTTCGTGAGTCAGTAAATTAATGGATGAGGTTATCTTGGTGTTTCAAAACATGCCAGTAGGCACAGACTGGCACAGGCTCTGTTGTGAACATTAGATTTTTCTTGTACTCTGTCCAGACCATCCCCAGCTAGGCTTTAGGTTTTTCCACAAGATCTTGGGATGCAACTCAACCAGACGTAAGCATCTGTATTGACAGCAGTGTAGCTGCCTTATTCTGTAATAGCTTGAAGTTTGTTAGCTGTGGTTAAGAATCTCTACCTGTTTCCGATTGGTGTGGTGAACATGGACATGTACTAGAGAAATGTCTTGGATGATGCTATCTCCCCTTAATCTTCTAACCTAGTAATTTACATCTCCATTTGGTCAACTATGCAGTGTTAATGGGAGACATCTTTAGACTGAAATCCTATCAGGCTTAATTTTGATCTCATGGTCAAGAGGGCCTGATTTAACTGTTTCTTATTGCAAATAAGCCCTCGTATGGGCATAGCTGAGGAGCCCTGGTGGCGCAGTGGTTAACGCACTTGGCTGCTAATGAAAGGTCTGCAATTCAAACCCACCAGCTGCGCCTCGGGAAAAAGATGTGACAGTCTGCTTCCATAAAGATTACAGTCTTGGAAACCCTATGGGGCAGTTTCACTTTGTCCTACAGGGTCACCGTGAGTCAGAATGACTCAACGGCAAAAGGTTTGGTTGTTTTTGGTACGGGCATAGATGCTGAATAACATGGTTTCTTTTACGTTAGGCATAGTGGTTCATAGCTTTACCTTTAGATTTGCAATGGCCATAGGCTTTAAGATCGCGGCTGGCTCTTCTCAATCACTTGCACTTGCTGGATCATGTGGTAGGTATCTAACTATTTCTTCAGTCCTGGCAGGAAAGTCATCTTGCTACCTGGCAATGCAAACCACACTGCTCCCATCTGGTGGTCGTTATCTCAAATCACGGCACCATCAACCTGCTTCTAAAAGGAGTGTCTTGTCGATTCAGCCCTATTTAGTAGTGCCACATGTCACAGAACTGTAGGAAATAGCCATTCCCGACTTTTGTTCTGGAGCACGGTCAGATGTCTCCTTATCTAAAGGAGTATTACACAGTTTTTCTCTATGACAAGTGAAGTGGAAAGAACAGTTTTTGGACAGTTAGGTGTGATGCTGTTCCCGGTTCTGCCAATAACTAGCCCTGGGACTCCTCCAAGCCTTGTTCATTTTCTTCACCCGTAAAGCAGAATGCTTGTGCTTAATGCTCTCTACCTGTTGCTGTCGAGTCAATTCTGACTCATAACGACCCTATAGGATAGAGTAGAACTGCCCCATAGGTCTTCCAAGGCTGTAATCTTTACAGGAGCAGACTGCGACATCTCTCTCTACGGAAGGGCTGGTGGGTTCAAACCTGTGACCTTTTGGTTAGCAGTCGAGTACTTAACCACGGCGCCACCAGGGCCCTTTTAATGCTCTCTAGGAGTACAAATTCTCTGGTTCTGTGATTTTTTTTTTTTAATTTAAAATATCTATAAAATGAATGTCCACTTGGAATGTTCACAAAATAATTATGAATATACATGGAAATATTGTAGTTTATACTCTCACTTTTCCCAGTTTTAACTGATTGCCATGGATTTAATAGCTTTTTAGGAATAACAAAGACAGTAAGTACTGCTGTATTAAATGTACATATTTATTACAAGACAAAGTCTAATGCCATAAAAATTAAAATGTAAAAAATATGACTCTTAGAATTGAGGAAATATTTTTTAATGATAAGACCCATAGTTTTTGTGAATGAAATGATACAATGCTAGTTTTTTTTTAAGTAAGTACTCAAAATTGTAGAATTAAAATCGATAATTGAACAAGTAAGTAGACTTTAAAGTATTATAAGAAAATGTTATTGAGGTACATGGATTAGAGAGATGACAATTGAAATTAAAGATTGTATGGTAAATTTTAGTGTTCATGTGAAGAACATAGTAACAGGAAGTATATACACGTGCAGTCTCTGGTAAATCTCTATCAAAATGCACGTTTGGAACATTTGAGCCCATTAAAATATATATAATTTTTTACAGAATTATGTATATATTTTATCAAAACATGCAACAATGGTTTAATGATTAAGGCTGTTTTTGGTTACAAAGAACAGAAACCTACTCAAGCTAGCTTGGAAAAGAGTAATTATTGTAAAAATACAACAGGAAATGGCCAGGAACACCAACAGACAGATACTGAAGAGCCGCTGGGCCTCAGGGGAATTAGAACTGCATAGGCAGGACTCAAGAGTTATCTTCCAGAAGCCTGAGTCTCTGTAATCGCTGCTTATTGCTCTCTATCAGTTTTACTTGGGGCTGCTAGCCCCAATACCATATCATAACTTCCACTCAGGTTCCTGTACTGATGACTTCCAGAACTCTGTGTTCATCTCCATCTAATTAGTGACCACTTCTATGCAAAGAATGGCCTGACAATTTTTTTTTTGCCACACAGGATCAGTGGACAAGAGAGGTAAGTTAAATTATGAAGATGTACAAGGCAGGCAGATGTAATAAGTGTCCGATGTAACTGCTGCTTATCCCAAAGCCTTCAGCTTGGACAGCTTTGCCACACGTCTTTATCTGTCTAATCCCTCTAAACAATGACACTGAACACCTCATGCAGTACTTTGGGAGTGAGACTGAGGTTAGGAGTTCTAACAATTCATGGAACACTGAAGTGTAACAAATTCAGAGCATTTGGGAATTCTTGTTAAAATTATATAAACTTCTGTTAATGAATTGTAAACCATCTTTTAGAGAAAGTCAGTGCCGACATTAAGTCTGCCCAAATTATGCTTGCTTAGTTTCTGCTGTATAGAGTAGTACTTTCGTACCTATATGTTGTATCTTCTGAACAGCCAGTGAGGTAGAGTTGGCCTTCCACTCATGGTGATCCCACTCACAAGGGAACCAAAATGCTGCCCCGTCCTGCGCTGTGATTTGTTGCAGTTCAGACCCTTGTGATCCTTAGGGTTTTCATCGGCTGATTTTCCGAAGTAAATCGCCAGGCCTTTCTTTCCAGTCTATCTTAGTCTGGAAGCTCTGCTAAAACTGGTTCAGTGTCATAGCAGCACATAAGCCTTCACTAACAGATGGTAATCAAACCCAAGACTCCCGCATGAGAGGCAAGAATTCTACCATTGAACCACCACTGCCCCCATGAGGTAGAGAGGGTCGGAGACATCCTTAAGGTCTGCTGTTAGATTTTGAGTTGGGAGATGGGGTGAGGAAGGATGAGAAGGAAGAGGGAAACTGAGGTTGTTGAATCCATTAACAGTTTTTATTATAATAATAAGAATTACTGAAATAGTTTCTTAGCTTCTCTGGCATGAAGGAAAGAGTGCTGGGTTTAGGGTTTAAAAACAGAAGTCCTTGGTTTGATGCTAATCTCTTTGAGCCTCTGTTTTCTTGAGCTAGGAATTACCTATCATTTTAAAGGGAAGAATCATACCCAGCTTCACAGGATTGTGGTAGGACTTCAACAAGAGTGTCAAGTGCCTGGGGCAGTGGTTAGAATGTAGGTGGTTCTTTCTTTCTTTTTTTCTTTTTTAATTTGTTTATTCATTTTTTAAATTTGTAGACTGGAAGATAATTATTATTCTTCCTTTATCCTGAGACGTGTTTAGAAACAACTTCTCTGACCCCCACAAGTAATATTTCTGAGTTCTGAGAAACTGAGAGTGCTTTCTGGGCCAGGCCAGCCCTCGGGCAGGCTGACAGTGGCATCGGTGCCATCATCAGTGACAGCAGCAACTTGCAGCCACCACAGTTATTCAGGTAATTTTTTGAACATGACTCAAAAGATCCTGTGTTTGTGTTTCTCTCACAGGTGGATTTGCTATTGTGTTTCTGGTGAGGACAAGCAATGGAGTGAAGTGTGCCTTGAAACGCATGTTTGTCAACAATGAGCATGACCTCCAGGTGTGCAAGAGAGAAATCCAGATAATGGTAAGGCTGCTGCTCAGACTTGAGACTGCTTGTTTGAAGTTGGGGGAGAGCCATGGGTTGACCTGGACTGTGTCCTCTCATAGAAAGCCAAGCGAGCCTAGAATTTACTCCCTTGGGCCTTGTCCTATCTAGTGGGGCTTGTCCCTTTCCCTGAGATGGCAGAGAGGTCTCTGGGTAAGGCAGGAGTGAACAGCAATGGGGTATAGGATGCTGCTTCTGCTTGGCCACCCTCAGGTGGAAGGTTGAGGAGAAAGGAACATATTTAGGACACTGAACAATTTTTAGGTGAGAGAAATAGTGTGGGGCATTGGGAAAAGTTTATTTAACAATTTGGTTTCCAGTAATTACCTGTGAAATTTAGCCCAGAAACCATAGCTTGTTATATAAGCACCTTTACAGTGAGCCTTCTCTTCTAGTCCTGTCTCTGTCAGTTACCAGTCCCAGTTTTCAACCCTCTTGAACTCTTCAGTATTCTCTGAACATATCCTTCTGTAACTTTGTATTGTGTACATATGGTTCCTTTCACCTGGAATTTTTTTTTGTCAAGAAACCTCTTATACATACTCTGTGATTCCATTTATAAGAAGTCCAAGAACAAGCAAAAGTGACCTGTGGTGATAGAAATCAGAAAGTGGTTACCTGTGCATGAGAAATTGACTAGGAAAGGGAACATGGGAATTTTCTGGGTGATGGAAGTATTCTATATCTTGTTTTGGGTAGTGGTTACAGGGGGATGTAAAACTGTCAGAACTCAATGTACTGAACACCTTAAGATCTGTGTATGTATTTTATTATATGTTAATTAATTTTTAAAAAATTATTTAAAAACCTTAATTAAAAAAAAAAAACTTAATGAAAAGAAAAACTCATTCTTCAAGATTCAGATAAAGGTTCATGTTGTGATTATGTTTAAAGAAAGAACCCCTATCTGTTAGAAATACCTGCTGAAATATTTATGGGTAAAATAATTGGATGTCTTGAAACTAATGGGTAGGTTTAGAGGAGAAACAAGATTGGCCATGAATTGATGATTATAGAAGCAGAGTGATGGGTATATGGGAGTGTGTTAGAGTAGTCTCTTATTTTTACCTCCATTAGACAGTGTACATAATAAAAAATAGTTAAAATATAGGCCTTCATTCCTTTGTGTTTCCACATTACTTTGTTTATATCAGTTATTTTGCTTATACTGTTATAAATATTTCTATCATCAGAAAGTAAGTTATTTAAAACCAGAAACTTTGTTTATCTTTGTATCAGTGCACTGCTTATCATAGAATAAATGCTTAATAAACTTGAGATGAAATAAATGTATGACTAATGGTAATAGCAGATACATATGTTCACCTAGAGATAATAATTCCTTTGAGCCCTGCATTTTATTACTTTTTGTAAAGAGCAGAAACAGATCCAAAAAATCGACAGGGCAGCCTTGTAGAGACTCTTCCAGGCTGGGGTTGCCCTTGCAGTGACTACTTAGAGTAACTAGTTGTACTGCAGTTGGGCTACGGAAAGAAGAACTCAGGATTTTAGAGAGCATGATACTACTTCGGATGCCAGAAAGCTGAGGCTCTTGGGAAGGACCTTTGGGAGAAGTAAGTGCTGCCGTCGCCATTGGCAAAACAGCCTCCCCACCACCACCCAAGGTTTATATACATATAATCAAGGCCACCTGGATCCATATGCAAGGCACCGGTGTCCTCCCACTCCCCTGCCACACAACCCCAAGCCACCATTCTAGCTGTATCTCCTTTCACCTATCTCACGGTGTTCTAGATGCTTCTCATTGCTCCTTCTCCTCTTTCCTTGCCCTATCCTTGCTCAACTCTCGTAGACTCAGTTTCCTGTCTTTGCTTCTGCTGTTTCCTCTACCTGGAATGTCCTTCTCATTCATTTTCTGATGTTACAAAAGTAATCCTATTCTTTAACTTTCTTCCACTCATTTAGAAACATTTTCAAAGGCTTATTTTGTGCCAGGCCAGCATCGTAGTAGAGGATTTAAGAAGATGTAGGCCCCCTAGGAGCTCACAAATTAATAGACCTGATTAGGAATTGAGTTTTTTTTTTTTTAAATATTTTATTGTACTTCAGGTGAAGGCTTACAGAACAAATAGTTTCTCATGAAACAGTAGTACACATGTTATTTTATGACATTGGTTAACAACCCCACAACATATTAACCCCCTAAATTCTCAACCTTTTTTTTTTTTTTTGGTGAAAATACACGCCAAAGATACACCGTTTCAAAAATTTCTACATACACAGTTCAGTGACATTGACTACGCTCTTCCAATTGTGCTGTTATTCTCACTTAAGATGAAGGCTTACAGAACAAAATAGTTTCTCATTTAACAGTTACTACACATGTTGCCCTATGACAATGGTTAACAATCTCACAACACATCAACAATATCCTTACTCAACCTTGGGTTCCCTATCACCAGCTTTCTTGTCCCCTTCTGCCTTCTGGCCCTTGTCACTGGACTCCTGTACCTCGTTAGTCTCATTTGGTTTTACGGGGCTGTCCACTCCCGGGCTGAACGGTGAACCTCGGAGGTAACTTCACCACTGAGCTAAAAGGGTGTCCGGGGGCCATACTCTTGAGGTTTCTCTAGTCTCCTTTAGGCCAGTAAATCTGGTCTTTTTTTTGTGAGTTAGAATTATGCTCTACATCCTTCTCCAGCTCTGTCCAGAACCCTCTGTTGTGATCCTGGTCAGAGCAGTCAGTGGTGGTAGCCGGGCACCATCTAGCTGTACTGGACTCAGTCCGGTGGAGGCCTTGGTAGCTGTGGACAATTAGTCCTTCGGACTAATCTTTTCCTTGTATCCTGTTCTCTTCATTCTCCCTTGCTGCCGAAGGGATGAGACCAGTGGAGTATCTTAGATGGCCGCTCACAGGCTTTTAAGACCCCAGACACTACTCACCAAGGTAGAATGTAGAGCATTGTCTTTATAAGCTGTGTCATGCCAATTGAGCTAGATGTTCCCCGAGACCATGGTCCCCACAGCCCTCTACCCAGCAATTCAGTCCCCCAGGGAGTTTGGATAATAGACCTGATTAGGAATTGGGTTTTTTTTTTAAAAAAAAAAAAAACAAAAAAACACCAAACCCGTTGCCATCCGTCGATTCTGAGTCATAGCGACCCTATAGGACAGAGTAGAGCTGCTGCCTAGGGTTTCCAAGGAGCGGCTGGTGGATTCGAACTGCTGAGCTTTTGGTTAGCAGCTGAGCTCTTAACCACTGCGCCACCAGGGCTCCAAGGAATTGAGTTACACGGGTTCAAGTTCTGGCCCAGCCTTGTTATTAGCTGTGAGACTTGTTTGTCTGTTTCTAATTAGTTTATATTTTTATCTAAGCTTCAGTGCTCAAATAGGTGAACTAAGCTTATTATAAAACATATCAAGCAGTTCCCCAAGGGGTCCTACTATGCCATTTCAAGGTCCCAGAAGCCTTGATATATTTCTAAATAACATGCTGATATTGCTGGTTCCTTGGTTTTCCCCCATTTTAGGCATTCTCAGCTACGGAAAGTAAAAGTTTAGCTCTCCTTCATCTCCCATGTTGCCCCATATCCTTGCATTGTTCTCATCCGCTGTTCTTCCAAAATAGCAGCAAGTTTTGGCGAAATGCTGCTTATTCTAGTATTCAAGTTTTACAGAATTATGTAAGTAAACTCTGTTCCTGCTGAGTCTCCTAGTGGCCTATGACTGCTATTCCTTTCCCGCACAGTTCTGTTTTCACTGAAAATAATACTTACCTAGTTTTGTTTTTTAATCTTAGTTTTCTATGTGTTTTTCACCAGTTTACTCCAAACTCTCCCTTGTCTAAATAGTTTTTTAATACTTTTAAACCCATTTGGTATTCTATCCATTTTATCTTCTTGAAGAAATCTCTCGGTCTTCTGACTGCAGTCTGGACTGGTTGCTCTCTAAGCCTAATTTACAGTCTTATCTTGGGATCTCCTGGGAATTTCCTTTGCCTCTCTTTGTTGTTAGGTCTCCTGGCTCCTCTTTTTGCTTTACTCCCTCATTTTGGTGGAGCTTATTCTCTAGCAGCTACCTGATATGCGGGAAGTAAAATTTTTAAGACCTTCCAGGTTTGAAAATGTCTTTATTTTACCTTAACATTTGTGATAGTCTGTGTATAAAATTCTGGATTAGAAATAATTTCACTGTATTTTTTGAAAGCCTTGCTCTGCTATATTGTAACGTTCAGTGTTACTCTGAAGTCATCCTGATACCTGGTCCTTTGGGTGTGACCATTTTTTTCTCCCCCAGAAATTTATAAATTCTCTCTTTGTTTCCAGTGTTCTAAAATTTCGTGGTGATATACTTTGGTGTATGCCTTTATTGTTTGTTAGGTACTTGGTCGGAATTTTAGTTTGTCTCATGAGATGATTTCCTTTTCTCTCTTCCCGCTATCTGAAACTCCTATTATCTGGATGTTGGCTCTCTACTTCTAATTTTCTTGTTTTGGCCTTCCTGTTTTTCATTTCTTTGTCTTTCTACTCTACATTTTGATTTCTTCAGATTTATATTCCAGACATCTTGTTGAATGTTTCAATTTATCAGACTTTTTAATTTCCAAGAGCTCTTTTCTTATTTCTGAAAATCGCATCCTGTTTGTGTTTCAGTGACAGTTTTTGTTTCGTTGTGTTGTGTTTAAAGGTTTCTTCCCCCTGTGTGGTCACTTTCCTCCAAGGGTTATTTTGTTGTTTAATTGTCTTTCATATTAAAAGTATTTATCAAATGTCTGGTAATCTTGGCTGTCCACTCATATTCAAGAGTGAGGCAGTGAAAAGCTGGTCGGACCTCTGAATCCGTGAGTGGGGTGTGCCGTCTAAGGGCTTCACTGTAGGGTGATCTGGCAGAGCTGTTTCATGGGGAAACCCCCATTTTCAGTATTTTTAGATCTTTTCTTTGAGGCTGGTCAGATTGCCCAGAGAATATTCTTCTAGTCTTCTGGCTGCCTTTGTTCTAAGAGCTCAATAGGGATGTTC